AACTACATCAACAACAAGAACACTCCCAACAGCAACCACACACACTACATCAACAACAAGAACACTACAACAGCAACAACAACACTACATCAACAACAAGAACACTACAACAGCAACAACAACACTACATCAACAACAAGAACACTACAGCAGCAACAACAACACAAAAAAATCAACAACAAGAACGCTACAACAGCAACAACAACACTACAACCAACAACAAGAACACTACAGCAGCAACAAAAACACTACATCAACAACAAGAAACGCTACAACAGCAAACAACACATACATCAACAACAAGAACACTACAGCAGCAACAACAACACTACACCAACAACAAGAACGCTACAACAGCAACAACAACCACTACACTAACAACAAGAACACACAAACAGCAACAAAAAACACTACACCAACAACAAGAACACTACAGCAGCAACAACAACACTACACCAACAACAAGAACACTACAGCAGCAACAACAACACTACATCAACAACAAGAACGCTAAAAACAGCAACAACAACACTACCCCAACAACAAGAACACTACAACAGCAACAACAACACTACACCAACAACAAGAACACTACAGCACAACAAAAACACTACATCAACAACAAGAACACTACAACAGCAACAACAACACTACACCCAACAACAAGACCCTACAGCAGCAACAACAACACTACACCAACAAAAAGGGAACACTACAGCACAACAACAACACTACACCAACAACAAGAACACTCAGCAGCAACAACAACACTACCCCAACAACAAGAACACTACAGCAGCAACAACAACACTACATCAACAACAAGAACACTACAGCAGCAACAACAACACTACATCAACAACAAGAACACTACAGCAGCAACAACAACACTACAACAACAACAAGAACACTACAACAGCACAAACAACACTACATCAACAACAAGAACACTACGCAGCAACAACAACACTAACCCCAACAACAAGAACGCTACAACAGCAACAACACACTACACTCACAACAAGAACACTACAACAGCAACAACAACACTACACCAACAACAAGAACACTACAGCAGCAACAACAACACAAACACCAACAACAAAAACACTACAGCAGCAACAACAACCTACATCAACAACAAGAACGCTACAACAGCAACAACAACACTACACCAACAACAAGAACCTACAACAGAAAACAACAACACTACATAACAACAAGAAACACTACAGCAGCAAAAACAACACTACTCAACAACAAGAACGCTACAACAGCAACAACAACACTACCCAACAACAAGAACACTACAGAAAGCAACAAAAAAACACTACATCAACAACAAGAACGCTACAACAGCAACAACAACACTACATCAACAAAAAGAACACTACAGCAGCAACAACAACACAAACACCAACAACAAGAACGCTACAACAGCAACAACAACACTACACTAACAACAAAGAACACAAACAACAGCAACAACAACACTACACCAACAACAAGAACACTACAGCAGCAACAACAACACTACACCAACAACAAGAACACTACAGCAGCAACAACAACACTACATCAACAAAAAAGAACGCTACAACAGCAACACAACCCTACACCAACAAAAAGAACACTACAACAGCAACAAACAACACTAAAACCAACAACAAGAACACTACAGCAGAACAACAACACTCATCAACAACAAGAACACTACAACAGCAACAACAACACTACACCAACAACAAGAACACTACAGCAGCAACAACAACACTACACCAACAACAAGAACACTACAGCAGCAACAACAAAAACTACACCAACAACAAGAACACTACAGCAGCAACAACAACACTACACCAACAACAAGAACACTACAGCAGAAACAAAAAACCCTACATCAAAAACAAGAACACAACAGCAGCAAAAAACAACACTACATAAACAACAAGAAACACTCCCAGCAGCAACAACAACCTACATCAACAACAAGAACACTACAACAGCAACAAAAAACACTACATCAACAACAAGAACACTACAGCAGCAACAACAACACTACACCAACAAAAAGAACGCTACAACAGCAACAACAACCCTTTAACTAACAAACAAGAACACTACAACAGCAACAACAACACTAAAACCAACAACAAAAAACACTACAGAAAGCAACAAAAAACACTACACCAACAACAAGAACACTACAGCAGAAAACAACAACACTACATCAACAACAAGAACGCTACAACAGCAACAACAACACTACACCAACAACAAGAACACTACAACAGCAACAACAACACTACACCAACAACAAGAACACTACAGCAGCAACAACAACACTACATCAACAACAAGAACACTACAACAGCAACAACAACACTACACCAACAACAAGAACACAAACAGCAGCAACAACAACACTACACCAACAACAAGAACACTACAGCAGCAACACAACACTACACCAACAACAAGAACACTACAGCAGCAACAACAAACTACATCAACAACAAGAACGCTACAACAGAACAACAACACTACACCAACAACAAAACACTACAACACAACAACAACACTACACCAACAACAAGAACACTACAGCAGCAACAACAACACTACATCAACAACAAGAACACTACAACAGCAACAACAACACTACACCAACAACAAGAACACTACAGCAGCAACAACAACACACACCAACAACAAGAACACTAAAAGCAGCAACAACAACACAACACCAACAACAGAACACTACAGCAGCAACAAACAACACTACACCAACAACAAGAACACTACAGCAGCAACAAAAAACACTACATAAAAACCAACAAGAACACTACAGCAGCAACAACAACACTACATCAACAACAAGAACACTACAGCAGCAACAACAAAAACTACATCAACAACAAGAACACTACAACAGCAACAACAACACTACATCAACAACAGACACTACAGCAGCAACAACAACACTAAAACCAACAACAGAACGCTACAACAGCAACAACAACACTACACTAACAACAAGAACACTACAACAGCAACAACAACATACACCAACAACAAGAACACTACAGCAGCAACAACAACACTACACCAACAACAAGAACACTACAGCAGCAACAACAACACTACATCAACAACAAGAACGCTACAACAGCAACAACAACACTACACCAACAACAAGAACACTACAACAGCAACAACAACCTACACCAACAACAAGAACACTACAGCAGCAACAACAACACAACATCAACAACAAGAACACTACAACAGCAACAACAACACTACACCAACAACAAGAACACTACAGCAGAAACAACAACACTACACCAACAACAAGAACACTACAGCAGCAACAACAACACTACACCAACAACAAGAAACATACAGCAGCAACAACAACACTACAACCAACAAACAAGAACACTAAAGCAGCAACAACAACACTACATCAAGAACAAGAACACTACAGCAGCAAAAAACAACACTACATCAACAACAAGAACACTACAACAGCAACAACAACACAAACACCAACAACAAGAACACTACAGCAGCAACAACAACACTACATCAACAAAAAGAACACTACAACGCAACAACAACACTACACCAACAACAAGAACACTACAGCAGCAAAAAACAACACTACACCAACAACAAGAACACTACAGCAGAAACAACAACACTACATCAACAACAAGAACACTACAGCAGCAACAACAACACTACATCAAAAAACCAAGAACACTACAACAGCAACAACAACACTACACCAACAACAAGAACACTACAGCACAACCAACAACACTACACTAACAACAAAAAAACACTACAACAGCAACAACAACACTAAAAACCAACAACAAGTAAAATACAACAGCAACAAACAACACTACACTAACAACAAGAACACTACAACAGCAGCAACAAAAACTACACCAACAACAAGAACACTACAACAGCAACAACAACACTACATCAACAACAAGAACACTACAACAGCAACAACAACACTACACCACCAACAACAACACAAATACAGCAACGAGGTACAGAACACAGAACAAAACTCACTACTGCTACCCTGGAAAATGCTGGACACAAGAAGGCTTTTATATCTGAGGTAAACACGTGTCGAGCTTCCACTGATGGTCTTGCTCAATTAAATTTAGCCACCAGGAACTGTACCTTAACAAAACTCAGAGCAACAGTAAAAACCAGAATGGAAACGCCAGTGAACCGTTAGAAAATAAAAAATAAAATGAAACTAAAAAATTATAGAAATTACCTTAAATATCCTGTTGGTTTATATTTTTTTTTGTGTGTATTAATGTATGTTTACAAAGGAAGAATAAAAGTCACCATATATACACCGTGAGGTGTATGTCTCTCAGTGTATATTTGCTGAGAGTTAATTTAGTATTTTAAGGATTAATGTATTTTTGTCTATGGTGACGAGGTTATGTGCAGTCGACAGGCTTTAAACCCCCATTAACCAACCAGCTATGTCTTTCACTGAATAGGTGACATGCAGGCTTAATGACCTTCGCGTAACAGATAGGCTTCAAACCCCATTTATTAACCAGTATATGTCAATACCATTGTTATAAGTTTTCACAATTTCATCTCAAACTGGGAATTTAGAAAAATAGTAAACATGAATAAAAGCTAGAAAATAGCAATCAGGATTAAGTAGCTAGGAATAAAACGTTTTGGTTAATGCAAGACCCTTTTCAAGTCACCAGAATAGTGATAAAAGAGTAACATTTCGGTTCATCGTGCACCATTATCAGAATCCTGGCTCAAAATGTAGAAATAAGGTATATAAATTTAACACAACTTGATGAGGTGACCAAGATGTGATGAAAAACTGAAGATAAACTGGACTGACGGTGAAGAAGTGACAGGTAAACTAGAATGACAGTGAAGAAGTGACAGGTAAACTAGAATGACAGTGAAGAAGTGACAGGTAAACTGACCGTGACCGAGAACTTGTGAGTGGGTTTGATGTTGATGGGAGTGTTGCGCTCAGTGGGTACGTAGCGGTAGAACTCCGTGTCGTTGTGGTACCACTTGAGGGAGTAGAGTCGTCGTGCACGGAGGTCGTACGAGCAGCTGAGGGTGGCCTGGCCTCCGGCGAAAGCGTACTGAGGTACGGTCACTCCCCTCAGCAGGTCACCTGAACCACCTGAGGGAACACACACACACAAGACTAGTTTAGTATTCGTTTAAGACACGATACTAGTTCAATGCTTGTTTAAGACACACGATACTAGTTCAGTGCTTGTTTAAGACACACGATACTAGTTCAGTGCTTGTTTAAGACACACGATACTAGTTCAGTGCTTGTTTAAGACACACGATACTAGTTCAGTGCTTGTTTAAGACACACGATACTAGTTCAGTGCTTGTTTAAGACACACGATACTAGTTCAGTACTTGTTTAAGACACACGATACTAGTTTAGTGCTTGTTTAAGACACACGATACTAGTTCAGTGCTTGTTTAAGACACACAATACTAGTTCAGTGCTTGTTTAAGACACACAGATACTAGTTCCCGTGCTTGTTTAAGACACACGATACTAGTTCAGTCTTGTTTAAGACACACAAAACTAGTTTAGTGCTTGTTTAAGACACACGTACTAGTTCAGTGGGTTGTTTAAGACACACAATACTGTTCAGTGCTTGTTTAAGACACACGATTACTAGTTCATGCTTGTTTAAGACACACAATACTAGTTTCAGGGGCTTGTTTAAGACACACGATACTAGTTCAGTGCTTGTGTAATACACATAATCCTTTTTAATAAGATTTTTCCCCAAAAAATGTTTAAACTACTTTTAAGAAAGTTCTAATTTAATACAAAAAAAACTTGCTGAAGCACTATACATTGATGGTTTTCCCCGGGAAGTTTTTTTTGTGTAGACAACAATGAATTCCGCAATTGAAAGAATTTTCTTAAAAATTTGTTTAAAACTTACCTTTTAGAGGTTTTCTAATATTAAAATGGCAATTTTTTTTTTGTATATCCTTGCAAAAGATTTGGCTTCCCAAAGTGAAAAGAATGTTTTTTCACAACACGAAAATGTTTTGTGTTTTTCTTTAGCGGGAAAAGTTTGTAATTCCAAACTGATGAATTATTTCCTGTCAAAACCATATGCAGGATGGGTTTCCTGCCCTACCCAAGCGGATGGTTTCTTATATACCACTTGCGGTAATTTTTGTATAAATTTTCATCAGGTGGTTCCTGAATACCATCATGCGGTAGTTTTCCGGGGTTTCGATTTCTCTCGAAGGTTCTGTCTATTCCTAACACGGGACTTTTGGTGGTGGTGTGTGGCCTCACAAGAAGGAGCTCCTCCACCCTCTTCGATGAAAAAAAACACGTTTTACATAATTCGGGAAAATTTTTTCATCACAAGGTTTTTTTCCCCTTGAATGGGGGTTTTGATTAGGGAAAAACCCTGGGGAGGAAAAAGGCTTGGGGAGGGTCGATATTTTCCGGTTTTCTGGGGGGAAAAATTTTTCCACAACTGGGTTACAACAAATGTAAAGCGAAAAGGTTTGTAAGGGCCCACCGGGGAAGGGAGAAAATTTTTTATTTCGCCACCTGGATAAACCGAACGGAAATACAGATTTTGGAAAGACGGAACTTTTAGGATTAATACAATTGAATCAACAATGAAAAAGTTCTTGAATTTACGGGAAAAACTTGGGAAGAACGCAAGTTTGGGGGGGAAATTTGGAATGACGCTAACTGGTAATGACAATTTTTTAATGAAAATGAAACAGAAACTGGTAAGACGCAAACGGGTATGACAGCACCCAAAGGTATGACCAGCCATGGTAATGCGCAGAATGTAATGACAGCGACACTGGTAAAGACGCAAACGGTAGGCACAGAAATGGTAATCGCAGCACAGGGTAATGACACAGAACTGGTAAGTAACAGCAAGGTAATGACGCACAAACTGGTAAAAAAGCGCACCGGGTTGACAATGTACATGGAATGCAGCGGGAAACTGTAAGACGCAGACACGGGTTAAATGCCCACCCCAGCACACGGAAATGACAGCGGGAAAATGGTAATGCAGCAGACACGGTAATACAGCACACTTTTAATGACAGCGAACTGGTAATGCAGCAGCCCCGGTAATGACGCCCACAGGGAAATGACAGCGCCACTGGTAAGCGAAAACCACTGGTAATGACACAGCCACTGGTAATGACGCAGAAAACCGGGTAATAACAGCAGCACAGGTAATGACACAGGAAAGGGTAATGACAGCAGTACAGGGATGACAGCGAACTGGTAATGAACGTACATGGCAAATGACAGCAGCGCACTGGTAATGAAGTGTACACTGGAAACAGCAAACTGGTTTTTCAGCAGCACATTTTATGACAGGACACGGGAAATGAAGCAGACATGGTAAGCGCACAACTGGTAATGACGCAGAACCGGAAATGCAGCGACATGGTAATGACAGCAGACACTGGTAAGGACGAGACACGGGAAATACAGGTCCAGGGTTGACAGCGGGAAACTGTAAGCAGCGCCAGGGTAATACAGCAGCCCGGGTAGACGCAGCACTGGTAATGGACAGCACACAGGTATAAACAGGACATTTTTAAGCGCAGAAGGGAAATGACAGCACCCCAAACTGGAAATGACAGCGGGCCCAGGTAATGACAGCGGGAAACTGGTAATGACAGAGAACATGGTAATGACACTAACTGGTAATGACAGCAGTACATGAAGACAGCGCCATGGTAATGACAGAGAACTTTGTAAACAGGGGAAATGGAATGACAGCACACACTGGTAATACGAAACCCCGGGAAATGACGCAGCCCGGGTTGCACACAAGTAATGACAGCAGACACGGGAAAGACAGGTACAGGAAGGGCCCGCCAGTAACTGGTAATAGCAGCACACGGTAATGACAGAGTACACTGGAAATGACGATTTACAGGTAATGACAGCAGCCCACTGGTAATGAAGCAGCACATGGAAATAACAGCAACATTTTAATGACGCAGAACTGGTTAATGACAGCGACAGGGTAATGACACAGGAAATGGTAATACAGCAGAAACGGGAAATGACAGCTAACGGAAAAAACCCAGCACACATGGAAAAGCCAGAGACCCAACCGGAATGACAGGCCACGGGTAATACACCCGAAAACTTAATGACAGCAGCAAGGTAATAAAGCAGACACGGTAATGACAGCAGCGGTAATGACAGCCACAGGGAAAAGACAGATAAATGGTAATGAAACAACCCACTGGAAATACGCAAACCTGGTAATGACGCACCTGGAAATGCCCCAAAAACCGGGAAATGAGGGGCCACACTGGTAATGACAGCACAAAGGTAATGAAACGCAACTGGTAATGACAGCAAAAACTGGTAATGAAGCGCAACGGTAATGCAGCAGCAAAACGGGGAGACATTCCCACGGTAATGAAGCGTACACTGGTAAGCGAGACACTGGAATGAACCACCTGGTTGACGAAACCTGGAAGACAGCGACATGGATGACATATACATGGTAATCAGCAAATGGAAGACAGCACCAAACTGGTAATACAGCGCACACGGTAATGACAGCATCACTGGTAATGAAAAACAAACACTGGTAATAACAGAATGGAAAAGCGCGAAACTGGTAATGAAAGCAAACACTGGTAATGACGCACCACTTATGACGCAGACACTGGAATGAAGCAGCCAGGGTATGACAGAAAACTGGTAATGAAGAGTACCTGGTAATACAGCAGCACATAAGACACAGAAACATGGTAAAAAAGCTTTAACGGTAGACAAAAATACACTGGAAATGACAGCAGTACGCGGGTAATACAGCACAAATGGAAATGAAAACAGCAAGGTAATGACACCCAGAACATTTTGGTAAGACAGCAGAATGGTAATACAGAGCACAGGTAATGCAGCGCCTGGAAATACAGCACACATGGTAATGATGCATAACGGGTAAGCCCCATTACATGGAAATGACAGAGAATGGTAATGACAGCCAAAACGTAATGCGCAAAAACCCTGGTAATGCAGCACCACGGTAGCAGCAAAACTGGTTTAAAGAAACAAAACTGGTTTTGCAGCAGACACTGGTAAGACAGACAACTGAATGACAAGAAAACCTGAAAAAAAAGCAGCAAAGGTAATGACGATACACTGGTAATGACAGAGTACAGGGTAATGACAGCAGCACACGGGTTAAAACAGAGCACAGGTAATGACAGCACAAATGGTAATGACACGACACTGGAATGACGAGACACGGGTAATCGAGAAACGGAAATTACAGAACAGGAATACAGCAGCAAATGGTAATGACAGAGACAGGGGTAATGACAGAGAAACGGTAATGACAGCATTTACCTGGTAATGACAGCAGCACATGGAAATGACAGCAGTAAGGAAGACAGCAGCATGGTAAGACGCGCCAGGGAAATGCAGCATAACTGGTAAGGCGCAGCAAAGGGTAAATACAGCAGACCCGTAATGACGCAGACACTGTAATGACAGCTCCCTTGGTAATGGAAGCAGTTGGTAATTTTAGCAGAGTCAGGGAAATGACGCAGACATGGTAAAGGGAAAGCAGTACCTGGTATGACACAGAAAGGGTAATGACAGCAACAGGAATGAAGCATCAAATGGTAATGAAAAGAGACACGGTAATGACACAGCACCTGGTAATGAAGATAACTGGTAATGACGGGGAAAAGGTAATGACAGAGCCCCGGGTAAGACAGCTAACGGGTTAATGACAGCAGGAAATGGAAATGAAGCAGCCAGGTAAGACGGGCAGCACACGGTTTTAAACGCGCACAGGGTAATGAAGCAGCCATGGTAAGAAGCATCACTGAAAAGACGCGCACAGGGGTTGAAGCGTCTGGTAAGACAGCAGACCTGGAATCCGCATTTCCTGGTAATGACAGCGCAAAATGGTAAAAAGCATACATGGATGACGCAAAATGGAAATGACAGAGCCATGTAATGACAGACACATGGAATGAAGCGTACACTGGTAATGACACACAATGGTAAAGGACGCAGTACACGGGAATGACACAGCAATTTGTAAAAACCAGAAATGGAAATGAAGCAGAATGGTAGACAGCAGCCCGGGGGGTAATGACGCAGACAGGTAAGAC